GGTTCGACGTCTAACGAGGTTCGATGCGCACCGAGGTTAGATGTGGAGCCAGGTTCGATGGCCTGCAAGGTTCGATGTGCGACACGGTTTTAACGACGTGTTCTTTTCCATTCACGGGTGGGGATCGACCTTGCACGATCAGTTGTCTGATCCATTCGCGGGTGTGGATCGTGGATGTTCATTCGACTGTTGGACACATCCATTGATCGCACTCGATCCACCACCCTGATCTCACTCGATCCACCATGCAGTTGATCACTTCAATCGGGAGGAGAAGAGTGGATCAATCGGCTGGCAGATCGGTCCCTCGCAGACGTTGCTTCCATAATCCGTCTTTGATCGTCCGGTCTGTCTTACAGGTTGATAAACATCGAACGAACGATCGAGTGGTCAGGGGATCTTCCATGATCAACTGATTGGTCGTCTGCTCGGTTGGCGGTTGGTCGACTGGTCATTCGAGCAGTCGATCATCCACCTGGTCCTGGCAAATTTGATAAACCGATCGACTGATTGGTCGAAGTCTATCAAACAGTTCGGTCGCTGGCCGACAAGTTGATCAATAACGAAAAGGGTGCTGCCACGAGCACCACACGATTGCAACAGCCAGACCCCATCAAACACACGAGCTCGCGGCCACACAAAAACACACACGTCGACGGGCGTGTTTTGATATTGCCATCAGGCCGGGCGAGACACACACGATCAATGGATCGATTGGCAGGTCCTTCAATGTGCTTGTTCCTGCTTGAACGATTGGATGCACTGTAACTTCGATCGGCCGATCAATCATCCATTGGGCGATGTCAACAGGGCAGCTCACGGCGTCGATCGGTCGATCGCTAGTGGTCTGGTTATGTTTTGTGACGGGTTGGTTCGTCTCGTGTGCGGTTTCGACGCTGGCGCCACGTGGTCGATCGAGGCTTTCGTTCAAGCTTAGGGAAATTTGCATATATGTTTTTAAAGCTTCAGCCATTTGTGTGCAAAACGCCATGCAAACAAAACACATTATTGCTTATATTCAATCAACTTTCCGTCACGGTATTACCACAACAGATTCTTTTGGAGATACCAAAGTCGAACTCTATGCTTTGATAGGAACTGGAAGTTCTGAAACTGGTTGGTATACTACCATAATGAAAGGAGGCGAAAGGTAATAAAGTAGGCAATGTGGTAAAAAAGAAAAAATTAGTTTTTCGAGAGTCTGTAGATCTCAATCAATCGACCGATCATGAGTGATCTCATTACGTTTCGCGATGGGTCGATTCGATGCGTTTGCTATCTCGGCATTGTCACCGCGGGTTCTGAGATCATCCATTGTGTTGCACGGTGGCTATGACATCAGGACA